AAATTTTGATGATATTAATAAAATTTCTTCAACTGGCTATAGCCTTTAGCTATTAGGTCGTTCGGATATAAACGAGCTTTTGCACTGCTTAACTCGTGAGGAAGCCATTTCCCGTATCTGATCGCCTTAGGCTTGGACTTATGGCGAAGGCTAGCGGCTAGCGCCTCGCACTAAGTCTATTTGGGTTTGGGCTGAACCCTCATTTTCTGGATCTCAGCCAGTTCCCGGATTAGTCTTAGGCTTAGGCTTAACTCGTGAGGAAGCCATTTCCCGCATCTGATCGCCTTTCCAATGGCGTGGAGATGCTCATCAATGGTAGAATTTGAACATAGAAACTGTTGAGCAAGTTCACACGTTGTTTGACATGGATCCGATTCGATTGGAGCCCTCAAAATATCTACCGATTGAGGTCGACGAGAGTGTTCATGATCCTCGAGACTTTCATCACCATTCCGAAAGCGTTGGAACCAGGCTCGGCATCGAGTTTCGGACAATATATCATTCCCAAATGCTTTGACCAAATCTCGATGAGATTCCGCGATTCCTATTTGGTTCCTATTTGATTCTTTTGCCCAGTTTGAAGTCGTAAAGTAGGCAGACGCAAACTTGAAATTTTTGAAGTCGGTCATCTAAAGCAAGAAAAAAAGATTTGAAAAATAAGAAATTATCCGTTTCCAAAGAGAAAGATTCCAAATATACACAAGATAACGTACTTTTAAATACAGAAAGACATGTTTTAAAAGCTTCTCTCACAACAATAAGTTTAGCAACGCTTGTTTATATCCGAACAACCTAATATTTCCTAAAATATGTAAACTTTTTCAAGCCACCATCTTGACTCTATTCTTTATTTAAACTTTTAATTTCCCTCAGTCTTTTTTGTAAATTCAGATGATTTATTATAACTAGATAGAGAGAAAACTCTCTCTGAAGGAAAGGATAGCAATTATGTTGCGGTGTAATCGTTAGCACATTTGCCCGGTAAACGAAAGCTCACGGGTTCGAGTCCCGGCGGTGCACAGGTTTTGATCTGTATGCACAGGTTTGATCGGTGCATAGGTTTTGATCTGCCCTAGTTCCAACTGTAGTTTGCTAAAAGGCACGTTTTTTGTACAAAATACAATAGGAAATCTTTTGAAAACGTTTGTGGATTTGAGAAAAGTGAGAAGAAATGTAAAATCTTGCGAATTTTGCTGATTAGAAGAAAAATGATCGAAGAAACAAGATCTAAAAGCTGCAAAAATCTTTCCCCATCGAAGATTCTTTGTTTCAATTCTTTGTCTCAATCTTTTTTCGCATTTGTTTTGTGAACGTTAAAATTTTCTGTGTTTTCTCTTTTCTTTTCTCATTTAATATGAGAAAATCACTCAGTTTCTATTCTTTTTGAAAGGTTTTGAATGCGAAATTTGTGCCTCAAACAGTGAGGAAAAATGTTTTCGAATATTCAAAGGGTTTTTGAAAACCCTTTGAATATTCAAATGGGTTTTTGCAATGGAGAAAAATGTGAAATGGTGAAGAAGAGTTCAAAGGATCAACGAATGCATTTATCTTTCACGAAAACAATAGATTTTATCGTCTTTTGAAGAAAATATCTTCTTTTTCTTTACCATCAAATTTGAGATTTCCACGACTGAAGGTGAACAGCTGAATGATTAATTGGATTTGATTGAAACGGCAATTTATTAGCTGGTTTTGATTAAAACGATTATTAACTGATTATTAACTTAACGATTTTATTAAATTAACGATTTTATTAGCTAATAGATCACAAGGTTACTGTCAATAATCATTTTTAAATCACTTTTAGCTTTCGCTTTCGTATAGTTTCCAAATCTCTTCATCTCTGAATTTTCAGTTTTAAGTTCTTTTCTAGTAGATGATTCTGGGAACTCGAAATACCATTCAATAGCAAATTTTCTTGCGCGTCTTTTGAAGTTAACGCTGAACGCTGAACGCTGAACGCTGAACGCTGACACTGAACGCTGAACACTGAACGCTGAACACTGAACGCTGACACTGAACGCAAAGTGCGCCCGACAAAGAAAGCTAAGGCGTTTGCTAGAGCTTAAAGTACGGTCTACTTTTTTATATAGAGCAAGTCAAAAAAACAAACCTTCTTTGGATCAGTCGTCTGTTCCCTATTCAAAAGTTCATCCTCATCGTCGCGTCGAAATCTCTAGAAAATTCTCGATACTTTATACTAGTTTTCCAGAGGAGATTCAGGGCTATCGAATGACTATAATAGTTTCGTTTTTCTTTCAATTTTCATCAGCAAAACAATAGCCTACGCGACTGTACGTTTGAAAAGTCAAATGTGTTAAAGCTTCAACAAATAACCAACCACTCTCCATTCCGCAAGTTGTTTCTGAACTCCGATATTTAGAGGATCTGGCTCATTGCTCTGGAAGATTGAAAACTTTTCTATAGGCTTTTCTAGTGAATTCTTCAATAGCTGACTTGTTCTATTGGGTTGGTGAATTGAAAACAGCGGGCTATTGCCATATGTGACAGTTTGAGCACTTTCTTCAAAAGAAACCCATTTTGGTGTCAATGAAAAGGTTGTAGAGAATCAAAAATCAAGGCTTATATTCAAATTTTGAGAACGATTCAAAAACTGGTTTTCAAGAAATGCCAAATTTACGAATTTTCACAAAACTTGCATTTTAAGCAAAACTACTAACTGTATCTTTTTGGAAATTTGGCTATAAGCCTAATTTTTGATTCTCTACAACTTATCTATTGACACCAAAATGGGTTTCTTTTGAAGAAAGTGCTCAAATGCTCAAACTGGGACATCTCCAGTCCTCGATTTTTGAGCCTCACACTTGTCTCACACACAAACCAAAATCCTACTACGAAAGAGGAATCCGCAAATCCGCAAATTGCCTGTAAAATGGGCAGAAGTCGTCAATAATAATGGAAATTATTTCGAATGAATTCATGGTTTTATGTTCAATAATTTTAGTTCAAAGTCCCGCAGTTGTTCAAAGTTTTCAATTCACCAACTAGCTATGAACAAGTGACTAATCCTTCAAACTAAATTTACAAACTTACTTCGCAGTCAATTGAAATGGCCAAGAAGGAGATGAGGATGAAAGATGAAACAATCTGAGAGCTCTGTTATCAAGAAGGCTTTTAGGACCTTTTGAATTAGAACCGTTGCTCACTAAAACCAAATTCTCAACAGGTAAGTGTCGGAATATAATTCTTGTACAAATATAACATATTTTAGCTGAACTGCCTTAAATTTGGTGGTATTTTTGATACAAGTTCCACATATCTGCAAACCAAAACTAGCCGAGATCTCAACGTTGAAACAACAAGCTGAAAAGCTAATTTAATCTTTTAATATCCGATAAATGATTGATAAATTGATTTACTTTAATCATTTCTACATGAAATTCATCAAAATTCATCAAAAAAAACCGTAATCCAGACAGTCTAGACTGAATACCCTAATCTAGACTGAATACCGTGATCTAGCTATTCTAGGCTGAATATTCAATTCTAGATTGAATACCGTGACCCAGACAGTCTAGACTGAAAACTCAAATCTAGACTGAATACCTGAATTATATTTCTACACCTAGCCGTCAATAATTTCTTTTTTTTAACGAAAATCGATCCTAATTCAGATCCCTTCTTTAAAAATCCGATAAATTCAATCTACTGAAATAAAACTATTCAATTCGTAAGGTAAAAATATTCATTTACTTTTTCTTGTGAAGTTTTATTAAGCTAAATTTGGTTTGGTTTTGGTTTTGGTTTTGGTCTGTTTTGGTTTTGGTCTGTTTTGCTTTGGTCTGTTTTGGTTTTGGTTTTGTTTGCCGAACTCTAGTTTGTAGACTTTTGAATGCATATGTCGTAGCCGATTATGAATGAAATTTTTTGGTAAATCTTTCTAGTAGAGCAACCCTTTAATGTATGAGGACAATATTATATCAATATTTATGAATTTCAGCCGAGTATGAAATGAGTGGATCTAGGCACGTCCAACCATCAACTATTTGGTATCATTCAACGCAGAATCATTGATAATTATGTTTGTATGTGGAAAATATTATATCATCCTGTAGCAAATTAAATTCTGCGTCGATTGGTACCAAATTTGTGAGTTTAGGTTAAAAATTACCGGCGCTACAACGTTTCATTCAAAATCGGCGGGACCCCCATAGCCGATTATGAATGAGTGGGTCTAGGAGCGTCCAACCATCAAGTATTTGGTATCATTCAACGCAGAATCATTAATAATTATGTTAGATTTTTTAAATTAGAAAGATTTGATAAAAAGAAAAAAAATTAGAGCAAAAAAACTGTTTGTTCAAGAGGAAACTTTGAGGCCCCATAATTTGTTTTCTTTTTATCCAATCTTTCTAATTTTAAAAATTTAACATAATTATTAATGATTCTGCGTTGAATGATACCAAATACTTGATGGTTGGACGCGTCCGGACCCGCTCATTCATAATCGGCTGAAATTCGGCTGAAAAAATCGGCTACGACACATAAAACACTAGACCAGAGCTTTACAATGAACTTATTGTACAGCTGACATTGTAAATTGTGCCAATGTTAGCCATCGATAATCAGTTATCAACAATCTCTTGATTTCCTCCAAAAAAGAAAAAGAAACTAACTACAAGGAAGTGTTTTGGAAGAAGAGAAGCACGTGGTGAGGCCATCAGATGATTCAAATGTTCAAAGTTTTAATGATTTACAAAATGATCAAAAATATAAACCTTTTTCGAAAGTGAATCAATGAAAATCAATGAAAAAAAGAGAAAATCTCTCGTCTCTTTTTGATTGAGGTGAAAATCCCCAAAATGCGCACCCAAAATCCAAAGCTTTCCACCGATTTTCGAGCGGACTCGAAAATCGCGGACTTTGAACTCGGCATTGGTGAAATTTTTTCAAAAGATTTCAAAAGTAGAAGCCAAAAACAAATAGGAGAAAGTTTATTCCAAAAAAATGATTTTAAAAAATGATTAAATTACTTCCTACATCAATTTCCATGTGGCACTGAATCCCTTTGCTTCAATCGAGTAATCTGTGTAGAAGAAAAGTGACATGATATTGTTCGTGGAAAGGAGCTGTTGACTGGGGATGTCGAAGCCGGTGAAACTGAACAAAAAAAGAACATTGGCTATTCAATCTCTCCATTTGACAAGCTTCACTTGACAATCTTCACTTGACAAGCTTCACTTGACAATCTTCACTTAACACTTGACACTAAATGACAATATGACAATGTATCAAGCTGAATAGCTTTACTGAACCCCAGAACTCTTTTCTTCAGTACTAGAGCTGGTAAAAGAGCTAAATTCTCAGGCCAAGCTAAAGCCAAAGCTATGTTTAAGGTTTTAAGCCAATTTAGAGCCAATTTAGAGATAAGTTTGTAATTCCAATGGCTGATTGAAAGCCCTTGACTTTGCTAGAACTTGATTGGCTAGACTTGGCTTTTCTAACAACCTGCCAACTAACATAACGTAAAGATGGCGATTGGTCAACATTATCTTATAGCTTTATATATGGATAGCGATATGCCAGATGAAATGCAATTTTGCACGCGCACAAAGAACACAAGTCAACACTTCTTGAAAAAAACAAAAGAATCAAAGTGAGGATCGAACTTAGAACTGAGGTCGCGCTTTGGAAACGAAAGCTTTACCACTTGGCCACGGCTATATTGTAAGGAGCTACCTAAGACCCTACCTAAGAGGTCGATAAGATCCAAATGACCGTCAAACTAAAGTTTTTGTCTGAAAATGTTTTCGGACAAAAACTTTAGACCCTTATAACTTCTGATAGGTTGCTATTTAGCAAAAACGGAATATATATTCAGAACCACAATCAAATTCTGTGTTTAATGGTATAGGTCGTATAGCATTTAGCTCAGCCAGTTGGCCTTTCTTTGTAAGAGATCTCTAAAGCGAAGCCAGAAATTTGTTGACTTGTTGACCTTCTCTTGTCACTTTCGTTCGATTTCTCCATTTTGTTTTCATTACCCAAGCTTTTGGGGAGTTTTGCAATGCTTGTTGACTTTGACTCAGAATTTATTGACTCAGAAGTTAAAATTGCTCAAAAACTAATAGCAGATTCGGATTTTTCACCCCAGAAAACTCCCGAGTACCAATTCTTAGCCTAAAAACATAGGCATAACATAGGTACTGAAATGGTATAGATCGTCTAGCATTGTCTAGCTCAGCCAGTTGGCCTTTCTTTGCAATTTTAGTACCTAACATAGGTACTAAAATGGTATAGTTCGTATAGCATTTTTAGCAGTATAGCTCAGCCAGCAGTATAGCTCAGCCAGCAGTATAGCTCAGCCAGCAGTATAGCTCAGCCAGCAGTATAGCTCAGCCAGCAGTATAGCTCAGCCAGCAGTATAGCTCAGCCAGCAGTATAGCTCAGCCAGCAGTATAGCTCAGCCAGCAGTATAGCTCAGCCAGCAGTATAGCTCAGCCAGCAGTATAGCTCAGCCAGCAGTATAGCTCAACCAATTGGCCTTTCTTTGCAAGAAATCTCTCTAAAGCTAAGCCAGAACTTTCCAAACAAAGAAATCTTATTTAAAGAAGTTTCATCGGAAAGATAAACGAACTTTCCAAGAAGCGGCGAGCTTGTATCTCCTCCATCATACACATACAACCAGTCACGATTCTTCTCCATTCGGAAATCGAGAAACTGTAGAACAATCTGAAAAAGATTTGAAAGATTTATGGTGTATTGGAAAGTTCAATTTTGAATTATGCTTCAATTTTGAAATAAACCCTTGTTCCGCCGAGAGTATTGATGTAACTCCATTGTTCCGAATCATTTGGGTAATCATTTGGATAGTTTGGACTATTCAAAACCCCCGATGAACCCGATTGAGAAACGTACGGTAGATAGGGTCTAAAATTTGCATAGCAAAAATTATTTTTTGATTCAAAACTTGAGCGTATAATTTGCATGCCATCCACTTCTCGTTCCGCTAAAATCGGTGACAAAGCGAATGGTCATCACGTTTGATGTTGTCTAGAATTGGTTAAGGGGTAAGGGATAAGGAACCAGATTTAGGGAGATAAGGAACCAAATTCCTAGAGATAAGGAACCAAATTTAGAGAGATAAGGTACGAGATTTAGGGAGATAAGGAACCAAATTTAGAGACAAGGAACCAAATTTCGCAAGATAAGGAGCCAGATTGAGGGAGATGAGGAACCAGATTTAGAGAGTTAAGGAACCAATTTTAGAGAGATAAGGAAGCAAATCTAGAGAGATAAGGGACCATATTCCTAGGGATAAGGAACCAATTTTAGAAAGAAAAGGTACCAAATTCGATACTCAAAAGGAAAACGACGAATAATGACGAGTTTTTACAGAACCATGAAACAAAAGGTTTTCAAATTTCTTTCTCTTTTGGTTCTTTTCATTGTGAAAAGCTGTATCGAAGACCCAAAGCCAATTCCCAAACCCAAAGCCTTTCACGCGGCTCTTTTGCAATCAGATCTAGCTCATCTTACGCAGTTTTTCATGGGGATTCCGAATCTGTGCTCAAAATCGGCAAAACATCTTTCTGGCAATAGTTATGAGCTTTTTAAGTTACGGGTTACCTCTATAAAGTCTCTTTCACTTTGTTCCTCTATAAAGTACCTCTAGGAAGTCCCTTTAACTAATGTGCTGGTGGCGTAGTGGCTAAGAGCTTTGTATCAAAGACGGCCTACGCGCCTTTTGCTCGCCTTTTGCTCGGCTCGATCCCTCTTGCAAAAAGCATTTGAATGACTCAATTGGAACTAGGGCAGATCAAAAACTCGCGTGCCGCCAGGACTCGAACCCACGACCTTTCGCTTACCGGGCAACTGTGCTAATCTTGCTCCAGAGGGAGTTAATTACTCACTTTTTGTTTTCGTTGATCTCTTGATTCATATTTCATTAAATTTATGTTTAAAAAGAGAATAATTACTAGCTTCTCAGTTAATAATTATTGTTTCCTTCAAAATGTTCAAAAAAGATCAAAAAATGACCGAAAACCGGTAAAAAATGGCCAAAAATAGCCGTTTTTAAACCTTTTTAAGTCAAAATCATTTCGAAAAATACTTTTTTGAAACGAAAAAAATACATGGAGAATCCAATTGGAGAATCCAGCTCAATTGCTTTTCCTCAAAAATCCCCTAGTTAAAAACTCGAGTAATTTACCTTTACGCCGAACTCAGAAGACTCAAAAATTTGATGCGCTGTGATTTAGACGATGGTGAACGATGGGATTTTTTTTCTGAGATATCTACTGTCTCTATGAGATATCGACTTACGCTCAAAAACAAAGCCCTACCTTGATCTGTTTCTCGAAATAGATAAGAGCTTTTAGGCTCATAATATTAGAAACAGATCAAGGTAGGACTTTGTTTTTGAGTGTAAGTCGATATCTCATAGAGAGAGTAGATATCTCACAAAAAAAAACCCATCGTCTACCATCGTCTAAATCATTTTGAGTGCTACTGTGCCTTTGAAAACTCATCATCACATTCATTCAAATAGCTTTAGAGAAAAAGTTATGTAATTTCCCCAATTTTGGTTCGGAGCAGCCAACCCTGGCAGCCAGGGTTGGCTGAGAAATTTCCACAAATTGATGAAAGCTCACCTGAAAACTTGGTTTCAAGGTGGTGTCAGTGATGTTTGTTGGATCATAGGTGAGGCTAAAAAAAACAGAAAATATCAGAATACTTTAAAAACTCACTTCGCAAGTAAAGTCCATTGTCCGCTTGGATAATTTCCATCGTAGAGTGTCACATAGTCGTATGGTCTAGAAAGTAAGCCTAGCTTTGGCTTTAAGAAGAGAAAAACCGACGTTTCAACATTCCACGCGTCGAAGATCAACTCGACAAAGTTTGTCTGATTTCCCGTAATGTATTGAATACAATTTTCATTATTTGCGTACTGATCGGGGAAATTCGGTGATTGAACGACTCCGTAGCGTTGGGTTTGATTCGCTGAGTCACATCTGAGATTGATTTTTTGAATTAGATCTTATACAAAGTGAAAGTAAATCAAAAATCTAAAGAAATCTGTTCTCTAAAGACTTAAAACTAAAGAAAATAGTTTCTGATTGAGCTTACGTGGCAATTTTCTGATTGCAAACGAATGGTTGTACGTTAAGACATTGCATATTGAAGTAGCCAACCGGATTCGTCGTTCTTATTGCTCCACAAGTTCCCTGATTGGCTAGTGGTTCGCCTAAAAATGCGAATTCTTCTTTCTTCTCTTGTTTTTGATGTTCTGTAAGCGTTTGTTTACTTTTAAACTTTCAAATTAACAAATTTAAAAGTAAACAATCAAAATTTGAGTTGGCGAATTGAAAACTGCGGGCTATTGTCATATGTGACAGTTTGAGCACTTTCTTCAAAAGAAACCCATTTTGGTGTTAATGGAAAAGTTGTAGAGAATCAAAAATCAAGCTTATATCCAAATTTTCAGAACGATTCAAAAACTGGTTTTCAAGAAATGCCAAATTTGCGAATTTTCACAAATATTGCATTTTAAGTGAAACTACTAAGTGTATCTTTTTGGAAATTTGGCTATAAGCCTAATTTTTGATTCTCTACAACTTTTCTATTGACACTAAAATGGGTTTCTTTTGAAGAAAGTGCTCAAATGCTCAAACTGGGACATCTCCAGTCCTCCATTTTTGAGTCTCACACTTGTCTCACACACAAACCAAAATACTACTACGAAAGAGGAATCCGCAAATTGCCTGTAAAATCGGCAGAAGTCGTCAATAATAATGGAAACTATTTGGAATGAGTTGATGGTTTTATTTTGAATAAATTTTAGCTCAAAGTCCCGCAGTTTTCAATTCACCAACCCAATATTAGGTCTGGTAACGATTTGATACCTATTTAGTAATTATTTGATACCTACTGGTAACTATTTGATGCCTATTTGTTAACTATGTGATACCTACTGGTAACTATTAGATTCCAGTTTGGTATCTATTCGATAACTATTTGGTAACCATTTGATACCTATTTGGTAACGATTAGATAGCAGTTGGCATCTGTTTGATACCTATTTGATGGCTATTTGATACCTATTTGGTAACTCTTCGATACCTGTAAAATGGCCAGAAGTCGTCAATAATAATGGAAATTATTTGTATTGAATTCATGGTTTTATGTTCAATAAATTTTAGCTCAAAATCCCGCAGTTTTCAATTCACCAACCCAATAGTAGTGCACCCCGGTGTACTGGGAGTTGCTGGATAGCAAGACGACCCTTAATGCAATCAAATACAATGAACAGTTGGGAAAGGTGAATGAATCCCTGAGGAAGAATAGGCCCTCGAAGTGAAAGATCGTTCTCATCCACGACAACGCGCGCCCTCATGTTGCAAAACTGATTCGCTCTAAAATAAATAGCCTTATTTGGGGACTTTTGGCGCATTCCCCATACAGTCCGGACCTCTCCCCTTTTGATTACTATTTATTCCGGATCATGAGTAATGAGCTTGCGGGAGAGCACTTCGATTCGGAAGAAGCAGTCAAAAATGGCTTTGAAAGTTTTTCGACTCAAAACCAAAATCCTACCACGAAAGAGGAATCCGCAAATTGCCTGTAAAATGGGCAGAAGTCGTCAATAATAATGGAAATTATTTGGAATGAATTCATGGTTTAATGTACCATATAAATCTAATGCCCCAAAATATCGTTTCTCGGGTTCTACTAAGTCAAATTTGCTCATCGACCATTCATTTTGTAGATCTTGACGAGAAAAAACAAATAGCTTCTTCAGATTCATACAGTTTTACAATTTCTCTATACCTATTTCCAAAAGTACGCGACACCCCTATGCTATAGTGTACTATTACAGTATTTACGGTAATCACCCGGCACAGATGCGGCAGCATGTACAACAAAATAAGCGACTCCGATGAGCGATTGGGAAATGGCGATCAGAAAAACGTCGATCTTAAGGAAATGCACTCGATTGACGAGAATTGTCAATAGAAGAAGGGAATTCCCAAAAATTGCACCCATCCCGCAGTTTTCAATTCGCCAACCAAATAATAACTTCGAAGAAAGAAAATTCATGAAAGATTTTGGAAAGAATAAGAAAGACTGTGCAGAAGTAGCAGAAGTAGTTTTTTTCTGTGAAATCTTATTTGATTTTTTGATTTTGAATATCTCTAATATCTCTGATTCCCTTGTCCTTCCTCTAAAGATCGTTCGTGTGAGAAAAGGGGACGGAGCCCACTTTGTATTGCTTTTCGTTTGGTTCCAATAAGGTTCCAATATGGTTCCAATATGGTTCCAATATGGTTCGGATACAGTTCCAATATGGTTCCAATATGGTTCCAATATGGTTCCAATATGGTTCCAATATGGTTCCAATATGGTTCCAATATGGTTCGGATACAGTTCCAATATGGTTCCAATATGGTTCCAATATGGTTCCAATATGGTTCCAATATGGTTCCAATATGGTTCCAATATGGTTCGGATACAGTTCCAATATTGTTCCAATATCGTTCCAATATGGTTCCAATATGGTTCCAATATGGTTCGGATACAGTTCCAATATGGTTCGGATACAGTTCCAATATGGTTCCAATATCGTTCCAATATGGTTCCAATATGGTTCCAATATGGTTCGGATACAGTTCCAATATGGTTCCAATATGGTTCCAATATGGTTCGGATACAGTTCCAATATGGTTCCAATATGGTTCCAATATGGTTCCAATATGGTTCCAATATGGTTCCAATATGGTTCGGATACAGTTCCAATATTGTTCCAATATCGTTCCAATATGGTTCCAATATGGTTCGGATACAGTTCCAATATGGTTCCAATATGGTTCCAATATGGTTCCAATATGGTTCCAATATGGTTCGGATACAGTTCCAATATTGTTCCAATATCGTTCCAATATGGTTCCAATATGGTTCCAATATGGTTCCAATATGGTTCGGATACAGTTCCAATATGGTTCGGATACAGTTCCAATATGGTTCCAATATCGTTCCAATATGGTTCCAATATGGTTCCAATACGGTTCGGATACAGTTCCAATATGGTTTGAAACACTGAACCAACGATTCATTCTATTTTATTGTATTTTCTCGCTAGATTAGTGATTGTGCTAGATTCGGAATAAATATCTAAATAAATATAAATAATCATTGCCCCATCGGTACCCTCTCACGCACTGCACAAAGAAAATTCATGAAAGATTCTCTTACTGCTAGAACTTTATCGTTGATAAGCTCAACTTTTTAAAAATTATATTTAGATTCGAATTAAAATGAAATCCTATTAAATATGGCCATGTTTCTCTACCTGACAACCACTGTGAGGTCAAACCGAAGCTATATGTTCCATCGATGAATTCCCAGTAACCATTTTTCAGATTAAGCCCCGTCCACACCGGGTACATCGAGTTTGCACTGAGATCTAAAAAAGCTTTTGAAGCTGCTTGACTCAATTTCTCTGTGATTCAACTCACTGCCCACAAATGCAAGATCATTGTTATCGTATGTTCCCGCAAGTGCCCCTCCGATGTCTATACAGTAGCGATTCGCGTTTGTCCATGTCTGCAAGTCAATAGCTGGCTTTGGTATTGCAAATCTTATTTATCTTAAATATTTTAACATAAAAACGCACTCGTTGAACACTTTGCGAATACCAAAAGCATTTTTTCCCGAATTGCGACCATCCAGCAGGACAAGGTTGTTGTTGTCCGAGAGCTAAATATTTCTTGTAGAGAGTCGTTCAATTTATTTTCGATTTTAACAACTATTCATTGCTATTAGGTTGGTCCATAGGTCTTGGCAAATCTTGTTTAAAAGTTAATTGACAACCAAACAAGCATTTTACTCGAAATAGTTTCCGTTATTTTGGATAACCTTCGTCCATTTTGTCCATTTCTCTCATAGAAAATTTTTGGTTTCGAGTCGAAATTCGAGTTTTAGAGCCACTTTTTGAGGTCGTCTTCGCTTTGAGAATGCTCCCCATCCAGGGAATGTTGCATTGATCGGAAAAGATGATAATCCGATGGGGCAAAGTTTGGAGTATAAGGAGGATGAGGTAAGACTTCCCAGCCAAGGCTGTGGATTTTGACGCGAGTGAATTTTGCCGTATGTCGGCGGGCATTTTCGTGAACAAGGATGACCTTTTTCAATTCAGCTCGTTTTTTCTTCATTTCTTCGAGCTTTTCCAGCTGATTTCTGTATAATAATTGCATTGGAGTTTGCATATGAAATGCTTTAAAAGGGGACTGATGAACCGGCGTTTTGAATGTAAACAGAAGGGGGAAGGTCGAGCGCATAAGCAAAGAACAAAGTGCTACCAAGACTTATGAGTGAGTCTAATGATTTTGATCAGGGATGATCCTGATCCCGGACGTTAGGATCAGATCCGGATACCTGGTCGGATTCGGACGTAACATATAATCATGAATAATGTGAGATGAGCGGTAAAATTTATAACATGATTTTCAAAAAAAAATTTCTTTACAAGACTAGGAATTTTTCGGGCAATTTTCTATGGGAATCGAATAAGAAAATTATTTCCAAATTTTCATTTTCCACTAAATTCGATGGCCTTTACTTTTATTTTTACATTCTATTGCATTTCTAATAGCTTTTAATGATTTTCTTTTCATTTACTAATGTTTTTTCGGTACTTGTGAATCTGTTGCACGCACATTGTTTTGAAATTTTGCATATAAACTGTTTGAAATGAATTTTCTAGAAACGTTTGGAAACACTTCTAACCCTTAGTAGCTTACATTTTCGTTGTAAGAATTGTAAGAATGTGATCCGGGCATGGCGCATCGCGTGATTTCCCAGAGCGCCTGCGGTGGGACAATAAAAAAAAACACGGTGTGACGCAGGTCACTTCCCAGCCGCGCATCACGGACTAGAATGTCGCTAACGGCGCAATTTAAAAGCCATTTGATGTTCAGATTTCAAATGCATATTTGCACATATTATATCAAATGAAAATTTTCAAAATAAATTCTAATTAGGTAAAATGCGTGCAACAGATTTACAAGTACATGTTTTTCTTTAGGAATGGTCGATCTCGTTAAAGCGTCTCTCAACCCGAACGGGTTACTCAACGAATTGAGGAAGTTCGGCCTTATTGTGCGGACGACGAATTGAAATGTGATCAATGTGGTGGTGATTTCGAAATATGTTCCCAGATGGTTATTGATGGAATTGCGATGGATATCGACTAGTTCATGAAGCGGACGCGCTGTTCTAATCGAAGTTCTGATCGAAATATGTTCCCAGGTGGTTATCGATGGAATTGCGATGGATATCGACTAGTTCATGAAGCGTACGCGCTGTACCAACATCTAAGAGTTTCGAAAGGGAACTTTTGTTTTGTCCGATCTCATATTTCAACGCTTGACATCCTGTTTTTTTTGTCATCTTTGGGAAAAGGATTAAATCACAAAGTGGCAGCTTCTCGGATCTCAGAATCTCAGACCGTAAAGTGGGTGCTCTTTGCACAGTCTGACGATTTGTTTTTTCATTTTTCTTTCTCTAAAAACGTTTCCCCTTCATAATTTTATGTTTTTTTTGTGCATTCTTGCATAAAGGATAACCAGGCACATAGGTTACAAAAATAATCGTCTTTAAATCAAAAATCCGAACACTACAAATTTTAAGTTAGGCCCAAAAATGAACGGAAAAAATAAAATAATCCGAAACCGTCTATCCAAAATTTCAGAATTAAAGGCGGCGACTTTGATGTTAGTGAAATTTCATATTTCATCGAACCATAAAGTGTTATATGTCATTCAATAGCTCTTTTCACGCTCTTTCAGAATACTGAATTGAGTTTTTGTGGAATTCTATTTTTCCAGGAAATTTTTTCCATATTCGGCGCCGAAAAGTCAAAATAATTTTTTTCACGAAAATCTAGCTGAAAAACTAGGCTCAAAAAGCAAATTTCTGAATTCTACGCAAAAAGTTGGTTGGGAATTGTTTTTTAATTTTGTGTTTTGGTCAATGGAAACGCGAGCTCTGAAACCTAGGTTTTTTAGAAATGCGCGGTTATATGGCCCACGCGCACCTTTGATGTTGGTAAAATTTTTCTTTTGTGTCAAATCATCAAGTGTTATATATCATTCGAAAGCATTTTTATGCGTTTAAACATGGCGGAAAGAATATACCAAAAACTTTGACTTTTTATTAGTTTTCTCCGATTTTATAATCTGGAATGCAGTTTTTTTCTGGTTCTGCGGTACTTGCAGATCTGGTATAGTCTAGAAAAAATTTATTCTATTTATAAGCATGAATTAGACAAAAAAAGAATCAAAAGGAGGAAATTAAGATCATTAAATCATCTTTCCATCATCATTGAGGAGAACAACATAACCGAGCCACTTAAGCGAGTTCATTAGTCGCTCTTGTTGTGGTCCTGTCTTGTTTCGAGCAAATTCAGATTCTAGCTTGCTGTGAACTGCCTCAATGCCCTCTTCGGATGCATTTCCGATGAATTTATGCTCATGGACAAATGGGCCAAGATGTAAGAGTAGAGCATGGACCAGTACACTTTGTCCAAAACCACCAACTTTTTCTAGTTCATCGGAAAGAATCGCTGTTTGGCAGCAATTTCTGGCTTTTGAATGTTTGCCTTTGCAAGCCAAATCTTTTATTTCTTTATCCGAAAGAACACTTTTAGTGGTTGAAGCCATTTGAGACCATTTGTTGAACTCACGTAATGCAGAAATGACTACTTGATAGGAACGGGAGGAAGAAACGACTGCTAAATCAGAAATCACTGAGGATCGACAGAGATTCTTTATATCGTTTCCGTTGAAACGAGCATAGATAATCCCATCACTCTTCCGATCCACATCCAACTTGCATTTTCGACAAACATCTTGGAAAGTCTGAGAGGAGCCTTCGAGTTTCACCAATTGTTCAAAAAAGTTGGTTTCCAATCTTGATTTTTGCATGAAGTATTGGGGGAATTACCAAACTTCGAGAAATATTTAATAGATTTTCTTTTTTTGCCTGCAGACCTTTTACTTTTGAAATCATCGCTTCCACCGAAGGGTCACTCCGATCAGCATATTGTTGAAAATCAATTGAATCCTTATCAGCGGATGGTTTTTTGTCAAACCTCTTGTTGCACCATAAACATCCAAATGTCATCGCACAGGAAAGACCAAAGTTGGTGTTCAAGAAAGATAGGTCTCCACCGAGAAAAACCATATATCCGGCTTGCACCAAAGTTTCAAAGTCTTTCCAAATTCCCTTTTCCTTCAGCGAGTCGTAAGAATCTGAACCTTCCCAAGCTTGTAATGGAAGACAATTGCGAGACGAGCACGGTTTTTCGCAGATTAGGAATGAAATAGTTGAAATAACTCGGCCGTGCCCTTTATCGAGGGAAAAAATCAGCCGTTTTCCTCGCTCATCCAGCAGACCCAATCTTCTTCGCCGCTCTTCAACAGCTTTCAACACAGCTTCCAATCTTACTCCTTCATTGAGAACTATTTCATATCTGACAAACTGGTCCAGAGTCTCCTTGGCCTTTTCGATAGTTCGTTGTGAGCCAATGGTTACTCCTTGGTTTGATTGAAGAAAATGGTTTACAGCTAATAGTCCTTTATTTGATAGATTGGCACTTTTTTTCATACCGAGCAGAGCTTCTGGAGTTGGAGGAGTCGGTGATTTGGTTTGAATATGTGAGGTTGAAGCAACAGAATCATCATCGTTTTGCTTTGCTTTTGCCACATAGATGGCGTTTTGACGATTTTGCTCGGCTCTTTTCTTTTCATTATCTTTCAAAATCCTTGCCTTCCGTGCTCCTTTCAAATGTGCTTTCCTGTCGAATTCGTTTTCTTTTTGTTGATTGTCTGCGGATCGTGATGAGCTTTCTTCTTTTGATTCCACAGGATTTGCATGAACTTTCCCACTTCGTAATCCGTGCATGTTGTTTTGATTGGTTTGGCGTCCATGTTCCAAGTTGCCACTTCTAGACTTTTTGGCTTCTGATGTTCGTCCCATCTGCAAATTATAACTTTTGTTTTGAAAGTGTTGGAAATACGAATGTAATAGGAAAAATAATAATACGCTAATAATCAAAAATAAATAATCGGAAAGCAAAATTGTCTGTAACTAAATGATTTTCTCCTGCAATTGACATTTATAACTTTATCATCTGTCATGCCTTTGGCATAGTAATTTATCGAGTAATTGTCAAGGCAGTCTGTATTTGTCTGGGCACCTGGGTTGCCTACCCGAGATTGACAAATACTCTCAAATTTCAACTTTCCTGGAATTGTAACTCTTTCTTCAAAAAAAATTGCGTTCTTCACTTTTTAGAATAAATTTTTTCTAGACTATACCAGATCTGCAAGTACCGCAGAACCAGAAAAAAAACTGCATTCCAGACTATAAAATCGGAGAAAACTAATAAAAAGTCAAAGTTTTTGGTATATTCTTTCCGCCATGTTTAAACGCATAAAAATGCTTTCGAATGATATATAACACTTGATGATTTGACACAAAAGAAAAATTTTACCAACATCAAAGGTGCGCGTGGACCATATAACCGCGCACTTCTAAAAAACCTAGGTTTCAGAGCTCGCGTTTCCATTGACCAAAACACAAAATTAAAAAACAATTCCCAACCAACTTTTTGCGTAGAATTCAGAAATTTGCTTTTTGAGCCTAGTTTTTCAGCTAGATTTTCGTGAAAAAAATTATTTTGACTTTTCGGCGCCGAATATGGAAAAAATTTCCTGGAAAAATAGAATTCCACAAAAACTCAATTCAGTATTCTGAAAGAGCGTGAAAAGAGCTATTGAATGACATATAACACTTTATGGTTCGATGAAATATGAAATTTCACTAACATCAAAGTCGCCGCCTTTAATTCTGAAATTTTGGATAGACGGTTTCGGATTATTTTATTTTTTCCGTTCATTTTTGGGCCTAACTTAAAATTTGTAGTGTTCGGATTTTTGATTTAAAGAAAAAAAAAAATTTACACAGGGGTGTAATCGATGTGCCAGGTTTCATTGGAAATCTCGATTAGACCGTAAAGTTGTATTTTCCCTTTGATTCATTTGGGGGACATTTGCGGGACTTAACTCTAACTTTCCCCCCAAAAAAGTGACGAACCAACGCCCCAAAATCTTATCTCATTTTCCTTACTTACTTTTTCGATTGGCTAATTTTGATTGGAGGATCAAGAAATCCAAGCCAGACTTCTCTTAGAGTTTTTACGGTATCTTTCAAGGGTTCCAGTTTCTAGAGAAATGTTTCAAATGACAAACCTTGGAGAGAAAGTGCGAAGATGATCGTCAGAATAAACATCGCTTGCCCTTACTCTAACTTTTCCCCAAAAAAGTGATGAACCAACGCCCCAAAAGCTTATCTCATTTTCCTCCATTTTCCTCCATTTTCCTCCATTTTCATTCATTTTTTACCCATTTCATCTCTCCGAATGCTTTTTCCGATTTTTTACACGAATTTTATGGTTTTTAAAGAGCCCTTTTGTGCTTTTTTTGGCTTTTTTGCCTTGCGGTTCGTGAAGTAACTGGGAAAATGGAAAAGTTTATCGAAAGGTAAGAAAAATGGGGAAGGATTTTTTGCTGTGAATATGATGAATCTATTCCGCTTTCCAGTAGTACACTTTCGTGCATCCTTCTTTCGCCTCCAACATACGAGCCTTCGCCGGGCTCTCGGCCGCTCCGTCGAGATACTCTTCAGCCTAGAAAAATATGAATTTACAAAATACTCAATGCTAAATTGCTTTTAAACAATTTAAGACAATCAAAGAATATCAGAATTCAAAGAAAATCACCTTGGCTCCAATTTGTTCATTAGCAGCTCCGGTTTCGCGAAGTTTCTTCAACTCGGCGACTTTCTCCTCACCAATTGCATCTTAATTTGACTGTTTGACTTAAGGAATAAGCTTTTTTTAAAAGCTTAAAGGCTTTCTTAAAAGCTTAAAACCTTTTTTTAAAAGCTTAAAGCCTTTTTTTAAAAGCTTAAAGGCTTTCTTAAAAGCTTAAAACCTTTTTTTAAAAGCTTAAAGCCTTTTTTAAAAGCTTAAAGGCTTTCTTAAAAGTTTAAACCCTTTTTTAAAAGCTTAAGACCTTTTTTAAAAGCTTAAAGGCTTTCTTAAAAGCTTAAAACCTTTTTTTCAAAGCTTCAAGGCTTTCTTAAAAGCTTAAGACCTTTTTTAAAAGCTTAAAGGCTTTCTTAAAAGCTTAAAACCTTTTTTTAAAAGCTTAAAACCTTTTTTAAAAGTTTATCGATTTAAAGCGATCAAGTGCTTACCAGCCATCAAGTGCCTGCAAGCATTTTTCATTTTCTCGACAGCAATTGGTTTCACGTCGACGGGCGCCTCTTTGAAGAACTCCCCAAGCTATGAATTTAAATAAATTTTTCAAAAACTCATTATAAAACCTTTTTGTACAGAGCCGCTTTATCATTTTCCAATCCACGAATCACATTTTTCTGCTCATCAGACAACCAATCGAAAGTCTCCTTTAGACTGTTCTCTAAATTGTGATCCTCGTGGCGACGAGCTCTAAATCAAACTCAAATCAAGACTCAAATCAAAACTCAAATCAAATATAAGCTGGCTGCTTTAAAATGTATCGTTAATGCAAATTTGATTGTCTTTACCGGTCAACCAAATCTAGTAAATATTAGAAATGAGGAAATTCCAACCCAAACCTAATTCCGCCTTCGTTTTTGGCCGTCTCTTGGCCGATTGCTCTGAAATTTTTTTCTACAGATAGAAATCGACTTTTTAAACTTTTAGACAAATTTTCAGAACAATCAGCCAAGAAACGGCCGAGAAAACGAAGGTGGAATTAGGTTCGGGCTGGAATTTCTCCATTTCTATTAGGTTGCTCGGATATAAACAATCGTTGCTAAACTTATTGTTATGAGAAAAGCTTTTAAAACATGTCTTTCTGTATTTAAAAGTACGTTATCTTGCGCATATTTGGAATCTTTTTAAACGTATAATTTCTTATTTTTAAGAGCTTTTTTCTTGCTTTAGATGACCGACTTGAAACATCAAGTTCGCGTCTGTCTACTTTACGATTTCAAACTGGGCAAAACAGTCGCGGAATCTCATCGAGATTTGGTCAAAGCATTTGGGAATGATGTATTGTCCGAAAACCGATGCCGAGCCTGGTTCCAACGCTTTCGGAATGGTGATGAAAGTCTCGAGGATGATGAACACTCTCGTCGACCTCAAGCGGTAGACTACGATATTTTGGGGGCTGCAATCGAACCGGATCCATGTCAAACGACGCGTGAACTTGCTCAACAATTTCTATGTTCAAATTCTACCATTGATGAGCATCTCCACGCCATTGGAAAAGCGATGAGGTACGGGAAATGGCTTCCTCACAAGTTAAGCAGTGCAAACAAGGCTTCACGGGTCGCTATTCCCGGAATCCTCATCCGCCACGCTAAAGATCATGGCTTTTTTGATTCTATCGTTACTGAAGATGAGAAGTGGATCTATTTCGATAATACTATTCGAAAACGGAAATGGCTAGGACCAGGAGAACGGCCAAATCCGACCGGGAAACCGGACATTCATGGAAAAAAGGTCATGCTCTCAGTATGGTGGAATAACAAGGGCCTTGTTTGTTTCGAGCTTCTACAACCCGGCCAAACAGTCATGTCCGACCTCTACCAAGTTGATCGGGTCAATGAAGTTCTCATTCGTTACGGAGTAGACACATCAAAGAAAAAGCTCATCCATAACAACGCTAGACCTCACGTTGCAAAAATGGCTCAGCAAAAACTAGAGAATCTAGGATGGGAGGTTTTACCACATCCGCCGTATGCTCCCGATTTGGCTCCCTCAGATTATCTTTGATTCCGGTCGATTCAAAACTCTTTGGTCAATGAGAAATTCAAAAACCGTGAAGATGTCCAAAACGCGAAGTTTTTCGAGTCACAACCGGCTGAGTTTTTCAAGAGCGGCATCAATTCTTTGCGCAAAAGATGGCAAGAAGTAATCAATAATAATGGTGAATATATTTTAGATTAAACTGTGTTGTTTCTGTTTTTAAGATAAATTTTGTCGACTACTAAAACGCTCGTTTATATCCGAACAACCTAATAGTAAAGTACAAGCTATAAAAAACTATGAGTATTGAAAAAAAATGCCTGCGAGAGTGGTGAAGGGTTCTTCTGAATCTGAAAATGATTGAGTTGTGTGTGTGCGTGTTTTTCTCCTCCTTTTTCTTACTTATGATGTCCATGATGTGATCCATGTGCCGAATGTCCGGAATGATCGTGATCTCCATACCAGATCTTCTCGCAGAACGGTAGGTTCCTAAAAAAAAGTCTAGAATATAGTCAAAATTCGAAATCAACTTCAAAACTCCATCTTGTTCGCTCTCTGGAAGACGTTTAATGTATTCGCGGACCTGAAAATTCGGCATATCAGCAAATCGGTAAATCAGCAATTCGGCAAATCGGCTTTTTTTAAACCATTTTTCAATCATTTTTTTTCTAAAAGCTGGTTAATGCTAAAAATATGTTTTATATCTCAAAAAAACACCCATTTTCTATACTTTAATTTGATACCCAAACGCGTGGAAACAAACGTACTGGTGCCAAGATTTGAGCGTTTGTTTCAGAGTAAACTTAGACTTTGAGAGTAAACTTAGACTTAGACGGGGGTAAAAGCGAGAAATCGGGTGGTGAGGAGTATTATTTATCGGATGGATTCGATGATTTGAATGGGAACTCGACGGAGATCACGGAGACTGAGGCAAACACAATGTCACAGGTAAAATTGGATAGCTAATTGCCACAGGTAATTGAATTGTGGCCCTGTTTGCTTGTTAGTTCAGGGCAGAATTATGGAAACTCAAGCTATTGAGCCCTCGTTACTGAGCCTAACTCAGTCCTCGATGTCTCGAATCAAATAATTCTTTTTTGCTGGTATATTCTGAGTTACTTGCTCTAGAAAAAACATTGTTAGACAAAGGTAACTGTTTTCTAAAAGTTCTGATAGTTATTCAAAGTGCGTTACTCGCTCCTATAAAGGAGTCGTTCTATTAGAGTTTTAACGGTACTACACCGTATTCCTATTGTAGCTAATTTTCTTATATTCGAATGTCAACTGTCAACTTTATCATTCATTCCCCTCACATTCGTCTTGCATTGTGCATGATCTGTCTCGTGCAATTTGTGAAGAGCGTCGATCTCGGCTTTCGACGCGACTTTGCTCAGCCAAGCATAGCAATCACTGAACAATTCGATTTTTAAAAGCTCACTTTTCTACCTACTCAGTCAATTTCTTCTGCGTTTTTTTTCTTGCTTCTCCATCGAGATTTTGGAAGAAAGTGAGTACTTTCTCCTTGATCTCTGTGTTCGATTTCCCAGCAGCTTTCAAATCTAAAACGTATCGGTAAATGTATCGATCAAAGCGCATTTGAAAATCATGATCAAAGTGATCAAATCATTCGATACACGCCACGATAACAGTTATCGGACAAGCCCCGCCCTTTTCCCATTGGCAGTCTAGCTTTGAGCTGAAATTTCTTGGTGTTCGGCTGTTCAATTTCAATGTTCTTGGTATCATTAGATGCGCCAAGTCTTTCTCTGTTGATTGGTACAAAAACTATTTAAATTGGGCAGTCCAACACCAAGAAATTCGAGCTGAAAGCTGGATCGCCAATGAAAAAGGGGCGGGGCACGTATAAAAAGGTCCCAAAATCCTTTTGAATAGGTAGTCAAGCTCTAAATGTATATAACTTGCTAACGAGACAATATATTCGTTTGCTTTTGATATATTTCAAAAGAATACATTTTGCGCTTTCAAATGAGACCTAATAGAGCCGAATGGAATAGATGAGTCTCGAGAAATCAAAGTAGAAGTGAGCAAAACAACAACGACTTGTAATCAATCGATTTTCGATATCGATATGGTGACTCGGTGAGGAAAAAGCAATGCATTAAGTGTCTCAGAAATGGTGGTGTTCGGCTGTTCAATTTCAAAATTCTTGGTATCATTAGATGCGCCAAGTCTTTCTTTGTCGATTAGAACAAAAGCTATTTCAATTGAACAGCCCAATACCAAGAAATTTGAGCTGAAAATTAGATTGCTAATGGCAAAGGGGGCGGGGCACGTATAAAAGGTCCGTCGCCCCGCCCCTTTTCCCATTGGCAATCTAACTTTGAGCTCAAATTTCTTGGTGTTGAGCTGTTCAATTTATAAATTATTGATATCATTGGATGCGCCAAGTCTTTCTCTATCGATTGGTACAAAAACTATTTACTTGAGCTGAAAGTTAGAGTGCTAATGGGAAAAGGGACGGGGCAACGGA